GTCCTGCCCGAATTCATTGCTGCAGCTGAAGCATACAGAGTACTGCTATGGCTCGAGAAGCTATTCAGTGATTTTGGGATAAATGAAGAGATGCCAATCCATGTGATGGAGGACAACCAGAAATGCATCAAGCTATTGCAAAGTGAGAAAATTAATGCGTGCACCAAACACATTGACATGAGATACCACCTGGTGCATGACCTGACCGAGAGATGAGATGATTGTTGAGATGATCTATTGTCACACGACAAAGATGACAGCAGGTATCCTGACCAAGTCTCTTCTGAGAGACTGCTTCCAGAACAGTAAGATGGGTGTTCAAGAGAGTGGTTGCCTGCGAGTTCGAGAAGGGGTGCTGGAGTTTCATTTGCAACCTTGCATGCTATCTGTGGTTTGTGTGACTGGGAGAGACATTTCAGGGCTGGGGTGACTGTCTATCCAGCACCAACCAGTACTATCCAGCCTTTATTTTCAAGACAGCCCCACCTCTCTGCTTTGTAGTCCTTCCCCTGCTCTTTAGTCTGTTGGTGGCAGGTTTTTTCCCCCCTGTTGATCAATTCAGTTGGTTGCTAAGTATATGTGCAATAAAGAAAGCAGCATGCACAAGTCTGTAATTTCAAGCAACTGTAAGTAAAGAAACGCTTTTTATTATTTATCCCGCAAATGTCTCAGAGTGAGTTATTAAGACTTTAAGTGCCAGTTAATGAGAAAGGGGTGAGCTATCTGATGAACTTGTACTTATTCTCTTCTGTGGACTTCTGTACTTCTATTGCACGGCCAAAAAGAGAATTTTACCAGAAATTCAAAACTCTGCAACACATTTCACATGCTGTCATTTGACCCCTTCATTGTGCTAGGATACTAGACAATAAGCAAATATCGAGCAAGCCTTAGAAACATAGCAGCTATGTTGTAACATATCTGAAAGATCCTGTTAACAAGAAGGAAACCATTCCCAAAGCCCAGTATCTAAGGGCAATGGCTGCTGAACCCTGACATATATAATTATTGCCTAAGGCAATAATAAAAACAAAATGTCTAAGGTCTTGGAATTAGAACTCTGTCTCCTCTTACAATTTTTGTCATAAGAGTTATTTCTGGAAGTACTCTTGTGAGCTGGTTTTATGCTGTGGGGTACCTCATGGAATTAAACTTTTCCTCTTTTTTTCCCCCTTGGTGAACTTGGGAGATACCTGAATTGTCTGGAAAGGTTCAGAAATGACTCCTTGTGACTGAATACACCATAGCAAAGTACTGAAATCTTGCACAGAGACATAACAACATGACTCAAACTTACCTGACTCAAAATATATTTTGTCCCCAGAGTCAACATTCTAATGTGTATTCCCAGTCTAAGAAATGTTGGTTTTGGTAAAATATTTCAAACTCCATTTATACTTTAAAAGTTAGGTTTTGGCTTCCTGTCTGCCTGAGTAAACTGTTTATGGCCAAACTGTTAGCCCCTAACAGTGATGATTACCAAAGGAGGGAAAATGTAAAAATGTCTAAAGTAATTTGACTCAAAGCAAATTTTGCTCTAATCCAGTGGGTTTTTGTTTTGTTTTTATTTCATAACCCTGTATCTCTGCATTAAAAGGTCAGGGCTAAAATTAAACATGAAATATAGGTCTTGAAAGCCTACAACAATGATAAGGAGGATTTTTTGTCAAAAACATGTCATGTTCCTACTGCAGCTGAAGCTTGCTTTATGTATGTTGTTTTCCTACATGAAAATACGTTAACAAGGCTTTTCAATATGAAAAAGCATGCACAGGTAGAGCTTGGGAGCTTACTTTTAGAAGAATGAATATAAAGAAATGCTGCAGCATCAAGCTGGGGTAGCAAGATGCTATTCTGTAAAGCTTCTCTATGTCATTATATTTGTTTTTTTTAAAGTATATCCCAAACTCTGCACATGTAGACAAGAATCCTGTCAAATATGAGGCCCAACAACTCCATGGCCAGAACCCTCTACATTTGCTTTAGTCGTCTCCATCATGCAGCATTGCAAGCTGGAGCTTGTTCTTGTGAAAAGAACAGTAATATCCATGTTCGAGGAACTTCCTCTTGCATTCCCCTTGCACAGATGGCAGAGCAAGAAGACACACATATAGAACTGACTCCTCTAGATGTGGTTCATAAGCAACAGGACAGTGGTCACTATGATTAAAACATTTCCAAAATTATGCAGATAATAACACAATAATGAGTAAGAGTCTCACAAAGTACTGTGGAAAAAAACCAGGGAGACTCAGCAAACTGAATGCAAGGCAACTGTTTACATAATTTGTGTAGAAAAAAAATAACCTCTGTGTCATACATACTGTCCTGAGTAATATCAAACAGCTCAGTAACTTGTTGCATAAAGATAAAAATTGTCATTTGCTCCTTTGGAAGGAACCGGAAACTTTCCAACTGAAACCTTGTGCTCTGTCACCGAATAAAGGTTTTCCTCAATTTTAAATTCATGTTCCAAACTTGACTGATGCAATATGTGCTTTGAATTTCATATATAAAAATGCATGTTGTGGTTGTTTTCTTTATCATAAATTAGGAAAGCAAGGGTGCTTGGATTAAAAAATATGTGAGATGGGTTCAAATAATTTATTGCTAATGGTTGTTGTGGGTTTTTCGGGCTCTTTGACTGTGTTCTGAAGGTTGTTCTTCCTAATGTTTCGCTAGTCCCTGTGGCCGGCATCTTCAATTTACTGCTACTTGGGTGCTGCTTTCAATCCCGTTGTTTCAAAATAGTTTTACAACTAAACTATTCAAGGGCAGAAGCCCTGTCCCCTTAATTTATGCTGCACAAGGCTGACAATGTCCTCAGCTTTGGTGATTTTTTCAAAAATAAAACATTTCCATTTCCTTCTCTGATGGTCCTGAGGCTCCAATGGAATCCCATTTATAACGAGGAGACAGTTGTGGGGTGCAGGATAGGGACCAAGAGTCTTTGATTTCTGAAGGTTGCTGTGTTGCCACCAGGATGAATTTACTGGTGACAGTGCTTTTCAGAAACAACATGTATCTCTTCCCATCTTGCAACTCCCAATGGCTTCCCCATTACAAAATGGATCTAGCAGAAGCCTTGAGACCTTTGTGAAAGCAGGGAAGGGAATCAGAAAAGTTTTATTTCCAAAATCACTGCAGTTGATTGTGGGAAATTTCTGCCTAAAGGCTGTAGCTGCATTCTGCTTCAGCGACCTGTAAAAATTGCTGTCTTGCGAAGCATAGGTCCCGAAAACACCCATTTTGCGAAGCCACCCATAGGTGCTCATAGGGAAGCCATTTTGTGAAGCCACCGATCACCTGTAAAAATTGTCATTTTGCGAAGCATCGGTTCCCCCCCCCCGCAAAAAAAACCCCCAGCTTGCAAAGCACGGACCGAAACATCATCCAGCGAAAATCAGCCATAGGAAAGACTATTTACTGAAACGCAATGGTGATCGCAAAAAGCCATCATCATGTGGATTTGTTGTTTTGTGGGGTTATTGTCTAGCGGGGCACCACTTTAGAGGTATGTAGAAGTCTCCCAACTAGCACTGTGCCCAAATAAAAGACAAAGAAATTGGGACTGATCTGCCTTCTGTCTTTTAGAAAACATTTCAAGGGCACAATAAGAACAGAGCATGTGTGGTTATGGAAGGACAGTTGTGTGGGCTTTGAGTCAATAGGTCACACAATTGGGGTATTACATAGTACTCCCACTCCCAGGTCATAGCTGTTTGGGTTTCCTCCCCATTTACTCTATCCCTGGGCACCTGATATGATCTGTTTATTTCCATATCTCAGTTTAAATCACATGCGCTCTTGTGAATGGGGAGGAAATGTGCAAGAAATTATCGAATGCACAGGTTTGGCATCCAGCATAGATTATATTACTTTGGTAGAGATAGCTCCTGCATTGGCAGGCCATCCAAAACATTTCAATGCTTGATGTAAACTAAGGAATGACATACATGCGAGCATATGCACACACTCACCTAGTCAAGGTACATATAGTGCTCAAGTTATTTTGCTTTACGAAGCAGAAAATCCTGCTTCATCAACATAACCATCCTGGTAGTAAAAGTACAATAAAAACAAATTAAATAATTTGTAGTTTGCCGACCTTTCATGGCACTCAAAATTGATATCTAAAAAATGGGAATTGCCTGGGCATTTTTGTTTCTGGGGGATAGCCCACCACTTCAGGGCTTCCAGGAAATCACAGCAGTTGTGATTACCATTGAGACTATCTCAAGCTCCTGGCAAATTTCACAGACTAAACTCCACGTGCTTTGGCAGAGATGGGGGTGGGGAATCTTGAGACATTCCTTCTACGTCTCATTGATCATGGGTAGCAGAAAGACTTGTCCGGGCAAGATCTGGTCAAACCATATTCCATGAGGAAGTCAGGGAGGCAGTCAGAAATCCTATTCAGACATTTGCTTAACCAGTGTTAGAAATGTTAATATCATTTGTTTCCATTATTCATTACTGTGTTTGAAAAGTAACCTGTCATTGTTACACATTCAAAGAATGGAAAAGTAACAGGCTATAAGTTATTTATTCTGCTGCCCTTTTCTTCTCTGTTACTTTTTTTTTAAAAGAAAAGATTGTTTAAAAAATGGTATAAAACCTTTAAAAAATCTTGTCAAAATGTTTTGAAATGTCTCTTGAAAAAACTAGAAGGCATTATTCATTACACCATAAAATCATGACCTATTAATTATGTTATTTTGAAAATCTAACTTTGTTGCACTCTTATGTTGCACTCCAAAGAGAAATGGGTGCCAGCCAGGCAATTACGTTACTTGCAAATAACTACATTGAAGCTCAGTAGGCAACCATCAATTGGCCACAACAACTTAATCAGCTCACCCTTCTCTTGTTTTAGCCACGGAATGATAAGCTTCCAGGAGACCATCCAGACCAGCTGAAAATTTTGTAATACTGTTATTGACATTTTCAGAGCTGCAACAAGCAAATTCACCAACTCCCTTCATTAATTCATGTCTTACCTTTGTTATCCTGTTTTCTTTTTGATATCTAGTTAATTTCTTCAGAAGCAAGTAGTAGGTTGCTGTTGTAGAAGATGGCTTATTGTTTATCAAGACATTGATGATATTCGACAGGTTGAGTGCCATTCCTTCTGTCATGTAACTCAAAACAACAGGATTCAGTTCATCAGAGCAAACTCTGGAAGGATAAGGTATATACATAACAGTGTTGGGAAGCAACCTTTTGTTCAAAAGGAACTGGCCATGCGAGCTGAGAGACTCTGGCACTAGTGGTAACAAAATATAACTTTACATCACCTTTAGTTCCTTGTACCCACTATCAAAAGCTCTGCTGTCAAAGTGTTCATGAACTTAAGATAAAACTTAAATAAAGAGCTTCCATTCAGGAAAGGAGCATTAAGTTCATTTTAGAAAGACTCCTTTTGTTTGTTCCATAAATGTAAGTTGGAAAGATGGAGTCTCGTAACTTTTGGAGGGGGGGTTATCTATCTATCTATCTATCTATCTATCTATCTATCTATCTATCTATCTATCTATCTATCTATCTATCTATCTATCTATCTATCTATTTATTTATTTATTTATTTATCAATCAGAATAAAATACAGTAGGTAACATAAACCACAATTTTAACCTGATGTTTGTGATCCCATATAAACATTTGTGTACTTCCTGGAATTTCAGCTACTGTTCCTGAATAAGAAAGAAAGAAAGAAAGAAAGAAAGAAAGAAAGAAAGAAAGAAAGAAAGAAAGAAAGAAAGAAAGAAAGAAAGAAAGAACACTAGGCTGCTCAATTTTATCTCTTCAGATTGCAGCTGGGAACATGCAAAGTTGAATGGTTGGTTTGCAATAACTTGAGGGTGATGTATCTGAAAGGATCGTTTTCCCTATACAGTACCAGCCTGTCTGACGCTCTGCCAGATAAGATCTCCTTAGGATCAAACTGCAAACACACATAGTATGCAGCTGTGTGGTTTTTGTTTTGTTTTTTCCAATCAGTGGGAGTGACTCTGATCCAGACTGGGCCAGCACATACAGTAGAAAAAAAAATCTCACATCCTTTTTTTAAAGTTAAACTCTCTCCCCAGGCATGTCTAGATAGCAAAAACCACCCTCCACTGGTATGCTTGCTTTTAAGTAAAAAAGAGGGTTTTTTTAAACTTGCAGGATACTCATTTAATGTGCTGTGTACAGTGGGGTCTCTACTTAAGAACGTCCCTACTTAAGAACAATCCAACTTAAGAACAGCTCCATTTGCTAAATTTTGCTTCTACTTGAGAACAGAAATACAAGATAAGAACAGGAAAAAAACCTTTCCTGCTCTTTTATTAACCTTAGGTCATCTTAGGTTAAAAAAAAATTCTCCCCCAGTGGTAGAGTACGTATTAACCAGCTTTGCATTAGTTCCTATGGGAACTAATGCTTCAATGTATGAACGTACCTCTACATAACAAAAAACCAGCCAAAACGGATTAATTGATTTTCAGTCCATTCCTATGGGAAATTTTGCTTCAACTTAAGAACGTTTCAACTTAAGAACACCATTCCAAAACGGATTAAGTTCTTAAGTAGAGGTTCCACTGTAGTTTCTATGGACGGAAAAGAGCAGATACGGATTAAATGGTTTTCAATGCATTCCTATGGGAAATGCAGATTCAACATAAGAACTTTTCAACTTGAGAACTATCTTCCAATACGGATTAAGTTCTTAAGTAGAGACCCCACTGTAGCTTGATCCTCAAAAGTACTTTCTACTTTTTTGTGTGACAAATACATCAGAGTTTTCTGTGTTATGATGTAATGTCTGTGAAACAACATCTGAATGGAGGTACAACTGATGCCAACCTGTCAATCCTTCTGGCACCCAGTCAAAATTTTTCTATTTGCTCAGGCATTTTAAGCCAGTCAGTCTGTCTTTACAGGCACACACAGACAATGCCTTTTAATGTTCTTTATTATTACATGTCATTGTTCTCATTGTGTGTAATGCATACATGACAACTTTTATTATGACATTCCTCCCACTGCTTGCATATATTTTTATAAGTATTAATACTTATAAAACAATACTTATGAAACACAGAGATGCTATATCTTCCCAAAGCAACTTTCAAAAGTGAGAACCAAGCTAAAAATTACAGCTGATCACAGACATCGAATCGGATGTCCAAAATTCACATTGAAATGCCATCAGTCAAAGATGGTCATGAAGAGAAAAAAAAGCCTGCCCAGCCACTGAAGTTGAAGGAACAACATATAGATCTACTGGAAGGGGTTTCTAATCATTGGGGGGCTCACACAGAGAAAGCCCTGTTGTTTATGAGCACAGAATGTAAGGGAGAAGAGTAGGCTGGACTCTGCCCCCCTTCTCCACTGCAGCAAAAAACCAAGTATTAGATCTGGATAAATTTTTGCATGAAGAAAAATACAATAATGTGAAGTCCACCTGCAATCTGAGAATATTTGACTGCCTCTCTAATACCACTTGTATTGTTACTTTATGTTTTGTAGCATAAAGCTTGTAATTCTGGATGTTCTCTTCATGGGCAAACATGCCAAAGATTCAAATGTAAGATAAAGAAGAACAGAAGAAATTTATTATCATACCAGCCTTTTCTTTCTTCCATTCAGAAGACTGAACGGAAAAGGGTTAAATGATTTCAGATTGCCTTTTGGATAGTTAAGCTAGGTCCATTTTTTTTTCAAAAAAGAAAAAAGGAAGTAAAGAATACAATTTGTTAAATTGAAGTTGAGGAAATGCTATTTGTGATATGAAAGTAAACGGTTGAAAATAATTACCTGTTTTTATATATGGATGGATTCAGTGGTTTCCTGTTATTACTGTCATTCAGCCATTTATCTTTCATTGCCTCTTTAATATTAGGTCGTTTAGTCGGATCAGGTTCAAGTAAGGAGTGTATAAAGCGAACAGCTCCTGTATAGGAATTTGCTCAATTAGTTATTGCTTTTATCTCAAAGCAGCCCTCCCCAGATTTCACCAGCAATAACAGGAAGAATCTTTGCTCCTCCCCTTTAACAATGACATAATGCATGACACAGATAATCGCCTCACTCCTGATTCTGGTATCAGCAGACTGGCAGCCAAAACTCTGGTGAATGTTTGGGTTCTAATGGAGAAACTGTTCCCTCCCACCTGTCACAGCACCTTCTTTCTCTGGTTTCCACATGCACATTTCTACAAACAAAGGTGATTTCTTATTAATACCCAGAAGGTCTGACTTTTATTACTGTTGTTGTTGCTTGAACTTACACACCGCCCCATTGTGCCAGAGTACTGTCTGGATGGTTCACAATATAATTATGTAAGGAGCACTTTGCCCCCCATCCACAACCTGAGTACTCATTTTACCAACCGCAGAAGGATGGAAGATTGAGTCAACTTTGAGCCGGCTACCTGAACCCAATGGGGTCAAACTCAGGTTGTAAACAAAGGCTTGACTTTTAGTACTGCAGTTTAACCACTGCACTGCGGGGCTCACTTCCTAATCATACTTCCATAAATCCCATAGCAAGTCTCTAGTACCATCTTTCATAAATGATCCAGTTTAAAGTTTATGCCAGCTTACTCTCACCTTGATGATTAGACAAGAAGCCCAGATAAACATGCTACTGTTTCAAATAGAACAGCACGGGTTGGGGAAGCATGCAGTAGGGAGAGGAGCAAAAGGCTATATTCCAAGCTGTTTTCCATGGGGATTTAGACCTAGCACTTGAAGAAACACCCCATTCCCCCCCACCCCAAATCTGATTATTTGAGGTGGTTCATCTGTCACTTGTTTTCTACAAGGGGCTAAACAGATTTCAAGTCTTCTTAGCACACTGCATAGATCAATAACCCAACTTTCTGTAATGTCATAAATACAAAGTAGTGGCCTCCCTTGACAGACTCTGACATTTGTCCCATAAACAGCTCTTAGCATTCATGTGACAATCAAATCTTCCTGCATACAGTTTATCACCCTGAGTGTGGTCTGCTAATTAACATCCTGATAATCCCACTCCTGCGTTTAACTAATCATTGACAAACTATTATCTGTTTCTTCATTGGACATGACTCCCACCATCAAGGGAATAAATATAACGTATATGTATTTGCACTCCTTGTGTCTGAAGAAATGGATTTTGATCCATGAAAGTATACATTGAAATACATGTCAGCCTTTAAAGTGCAGCAACATTTTGCCTTTCATGAAAATATACATTGAAATACATGTGTAAGCCTTTAAAGTGCAGCAACATTTTGCCTTTCTCTCCCTTCTCCCCCTCCATTTTTTTTGCCAACATACATTCCCCTTAATTTTTATTCTTTTCTCAATAGAAATCACTGACTAATTTTTTAACCCTACAAATGTCAAATGATCTTTGAAGGATGTTTTTGCTCCATAGTTTCTCCAGAATCACAAAAGCACCTCTAACTTAGCCCATTTTTGCACTTTTGTCTAATGGCAATGCACATGCTTAGTTTGTAGGCAAAGGTTCTAGGCTCTAGACATTTCCATCTTTAGTGAAGACTCCTGATTTACACGTGCACAACCAAAGCCAAGGTCACCACTGAGTAAAACAGGATTGGGGCTAGACAGGCTCAGAATTTGCTTCCTATGTTCCTAATGCTAAAAAAGTGTTATGTTGTTATTTGACTCAAGGATGCAAATGTTTTTTTCTGTATCTTCTATATCTTCTGTACAACTGTCAAAGTTTAGGAGCCCTGTCCTTTTTTTTGTATTTTGGAAACTTGTCTCTTAATAAACATCAAACACATAACTGATCAGGCCAGTTGCTCTGAATTTTTCTGATTGCATAATACCCATAAATCTTTTGATATTCTTCCCAGAAGCTAATAAATCCATGCGTTACAAGGCAAATTCTAACCTCTTCTGCCTAACCACAAAAAAATCAGCTAATTTTACAACAGGGACAAAAATCTGTAATTTCATATGGATGAACTTCTGCACTGTAACCAGTATAGAAGTATCAAGAGATTTTTTTAAAAAAATTCTCATTGAGTGGGCTTTAAATATCTACCTGAGATTCTTATAATTCTTTGTAGGAAGCCTTATTTTAAATGCCCAGAAAATTATAGTCATACTTAGAGAAGACTCATAGAAATCAGTAGGATTTAAGATTATCATGGCTAACTTAGGTCCTATTGATTTCAGTGGATCACACTAAGCGTGACCTAAATCCTGACCTAGCCCAATGGATCAGTGGATATTTTTCAAAACCACACAATGGATTTAAGCTGTTGTCAGGATACCTTAAAATTTAAACAAAGAGCTGCATGGCCTGTGTATCCAGGTAAGTTACATTAGAACCATAGTTCCCAACTCTGGGTCTCCATATGTTCTTGGACTAAAATTCCCAGAAACCTTTACCAATAGCTGTTCTGGCCAAGATTTTTGGGAGTTGTAGTCCAAGATAATCTGGGGACTCAATTTTGGAAACCACGGTCATAGACAATACATGCACAAATCTGACATTATCTTTCCAGTCCAGAAGGAAAGAGAGGCATGAGCAACTGGTCTCGTGACTGGCAAGCAGTGTGAAACCTCTGGGTGGGTCATAGCTGAGACATATGCACGCTTAGCTTTTTTGCCTTGACAACTGGGAACTTAAAAGGAGGCAAGCACCACTCACCTGCTCTTTGTTTCTGAGTTTGACCTGATCTGCACAGTAATTTGATCAGTGCAGGAAGGCAGATGCACAGAGTTGGACAAAGGCATATCACGTCACTCTTTCTGAGTACAAATTTGTGACCTGATCCCACATTGGGCTAAACAGGCTAAGAGGTGTTTGGGGATGGCTGTGAACTTAAGCTAACCCAGAAGAGAGAGGTCAGCTGCATTCAGCAACCACTCCGCTGAGGAACAGTTCTGCACAAATGGCTGCCCAGTTCTTGTCATTGCTTAGTGACTGGGACAGTGTGTCACACATTGTGTATTCTGAGGACGTTATACATGATATGTACAATTCAGCTCGTGTTCAGTGTCCTTATCCTACTGATGTCGGTGGGAGAATTAAGAATGAGCTGGGTTCTCTCCCTGTGAAAGCAAGGGGTCTTAGAAGTACTTCCTTTGGGATGGGTTGTTTTCCATGTGCAAAACAGAAATCCAGAAATGATTTTACCTGTGGAAATGTTGGGTGGGATGGGATTCATCTCACCCTTGATCATCTTGAGGTGAAGCTGCTTGATATTGAAGGGTTCCACAGTGAACGGCAGTGTGCCAGTTAGCATGGCAAACATACTCACTCCTCTGCCAAGGAGAAAGGCGACACAGAATCATTGTGGATGTAACATAATGTAGCACCCTATTGTTTTATAATAATAACAATAGTAATGTACCATCAAGTCAATTATGGTGACCCCCTATGTTTTCCAGTGGCTTATCCATCTCCCCTTCTGGTTGTTCTCTGAGCGAGTGCAGCTTGTTCAACACCACACAGTTGGTGGGGCACATAACTTCAGCAGCCACAGTGGTCTGTGTGGTCTCAGCTGGCCTCTCTCCTGGGAGTCACAGTGGGGGATTGGCAAAGACACTCAAACCCATTGAGCTTAACTAGCTCTGTAGTTTTGTAATAAATAACTATTGTTTTTACCCAAATAAGCAGCATCCATCATGAGCAAGTATTCTTCTATAATACTGTATATGCTCATTATGGAAACTACCTATACAGTACTAGGCAAAACCAACAGTTGCTGCTTACAAAAGGCAATGCTTAAGATGACTGCCGATAAACTACTATTTGACAAAATCCTGTTGCTTAGCATAGCAAGTCACAACTAGAGTAGGGCCATTTGAATCAATGGTGGTTTAGTGCATCATATTTGCAATTCATTCAAATGAGCCTAGTGTAACTGTGACAATCTGCTAAAGTAAGTTACAACCAGAGTAGGGCCATTTGAATCCATGGAGGTTGTGGAGGAGTTCACTCACCAAATCCCAACTGATACAAACAGCTTACTCTAGTGCAATTTACTACACCAAGCCACAAGATTTTGGTCATCGTATAATTATCTTTTGCAGCTCATTCATTACTACAATGGCAAGATGCAGAGTTAGAAACAAACCAAATGTTACCGTTTCTTGAAAACATATTTAAATAGATATACAAAGTCAATTCATATTAACATTTTCTGATTATTTTTAATTTTTTAAACCAAGTTTACACTGGAGAAGCCTGATCATTACCAGCAAATACACAGGACAGTCAAATTAATTAAACCAGTAATCAAGTTCAACCTGCTAACTGCCCTGAATAGCACATGCCACTATGTTGAGCTGTATACAAAATAAATAAATAAATAAATAAATAAATGAAGGAAGGAAGGAAGGAAGGAAGGAAGGAAGGAAGGAAGGAAGGAAGGAAGGAAGGAAGGAAGGAAGAAAGAAAGAAAGAAAGAAAGAAAGAAGGAAGGAAGGAAGGAAGGATGGAAGGAAGGAAGGAAGGAAGGAAGTCATTGACAATGGGCTGAGGATAAAGGCAAGAGCCAGCCTTGTGGAACAGCTATTTCTGACCTTCACTAGTACATCTCTTACACACAAACATTTACAGTGTTCAAGAGAAAGATTTAATCACTATATGAGGACCCAGCCAGCCACCTGCTTCCAGATTATCTGAATCCCTCTTCTCATTGTGTCTCCTGATTCAAAGATGGTAAAAACAAGATCGGTAACTTATGCAGAGTGTCCCCTTCTGAGGTTGGGTCATTCTGCATCACTTTCCAAAAAGCAGTAAAGCATCTTGGATATGAAATAAATGGTGGTCCAAGTCTCTGATCAGATCACATTGTGTCTATGGCCATATGCAATAGTCACTGCTGGTGGAACATACAAGGGTGGACTAAATCCAATTACTGTACAGTTGACCCATCAAATCTATGGAATAAAATCCATGCAAATTCTATTGATTCAATGAGTCTACTCTAGCTGAGATGAACTGCTGGATTTAGCCCTATGTATCTTTAACCAGATCTGGCTTCTTTCTCAAACTAATAAACATTTTACTGATGTTTGTGTAGGAATCAATGATGTTTCATTTCCAACACTATTTTATCATAGCTTTGACTGCATTGGGAGACCTGTAGAAGACATTCTTCTGTGCATGCCCATATAATTTCCTGAGCACAGTGTGTCAAAGGGGAGTGCTCTTTTGTTTCTTTTCCAACTCTGATCTATAGCACCCCATTCAGAGTTACTTTGAAAGATGCCCCAGTTTTCACAAGCAGTTGTTAGGTCATGGGCACCAATAATAAGAGGATTCAGAATATCTAGCTTGCACAGAATGAACTCTCCACCTTGAAGTCTGGATCAGGCCTTTAAAACTCTCCTCCTATTGGTGATTTATGCTGTCAACCAACCAGGAGAGTAAGCAGCAACTCATTAATTAGCAATATTTTGCCACTGCAACTTTCTGAATTACACTTATGCAATAGTCACTGCTGGTGGAACATACAAGGGTGGACTAAATCCAATTACTGTACAGTTGACCCATCAAATCTATGGAATAAAATCCATGCAAATTCTATTGATTCAATGAGCCTACTCTAGCTGAGATGAACTGCTGGATTTAGCCCTATGTATCTTTAACCAGATCTGGCTTCTTTCTCAAACTAATAAACATTTTACTGATGTTTGTGTAGGAATCAATGATGTTTCATTTCCAACACTATTTTATCATAGCTTTGACTGCATTGGGAGACCTGTAGAAGACATTCTTCTGTGCATGCCCATATAATTTCCTGAGCACAGTGTGTCAAAGGGGAGTGCTCTTTTGTTTCTTTTCCAACTCTGATCTATAGCACCCCATTCAGAGTTACTTTGAAAGATGCCCCAGTTTTCACAAGCAGTTGTTAGGTCATGGGCACCAATAATAAGAGGATTCAGAATATCTAGCTTGCACAGAATGAACTCTCCACCTTGAAGTCTGGATCAGGCCTTTAAAACTCTCCTCCTATTGGTGATTTATGCTGTCAACCAACCAGGAGAGTAAGCAGCAACTCATTAATTAGCAACAATTTGCCACTGCAGTTTCCTGAATTACACGTACGTCACCATAAAACCCCAACAGGATTCTGGCTATTGGGTAGGACTTAAATACACAAAACAGATCTAATTGCTAGTAGAGGATTCTGGCTATTGGGTAGGACATAAATACACAAAACAGATCTAATTGCTAGTCCCAAATGTAGTAGACCCATTGAATCAGTAGCTCAGTGATAAGTCAATGCTTATATAAGTCCCACCAAGTCAATAAGTCTACTAAAGTTGGAACTAGCAGTTGGATTTAGGTTTTTCTGCCCAGAAAGTACTGTGCGAATGGCAAAAATATTCATCATCTACTATTACGTACATGGACCAGACATCCACTTTTGGTCCATATTTTTTATGAGCCAAGAGTTCTGGGGCTGCGTATGCAGGACTCCCACACTGTGTGTTTAACAGTTCTTGAGAAAGCCCCTCAAACTTCATGATGTTGCTCAATCCAAAATCTGAAAGAATAAACATGCAAAGATTTAGATAATTTACACACCCATAGAGACAGACATGCACTTTTTCTCATGTGGTACCACATGAAGATTCTAGAACTGCATTAATTGAAGCAAATAATGTTCTACAAAGAACACTGAAGCAAACTGTTCCAATGCTACACCTACCATTTTTAAAATCTCTCTTATCAGCATACGTTTTCAGTCTTTATTATTAATTTGAATGTGTGGTGCATAACTTTGAATAGTAATGATTTGGTCAAATATACATGTTGGTGGCTTGGTTTCTGATTGTTCAATACTTTGGACTAATTCAGATGCTTACTAGTACTGAGGATTCTGTTACTGACGAGAAAGAAGGCATCTTTCCCTCCACCACCAATTATAACAGCACTTTATACAAGAGTTTTTAAAAGATCAGTATACAGTTGAGAATATTGCATTTTTTTTCTTTCTGTACTTTCCCCCTCCCATCTCCTCCCTTTCCCTTCCTTCTTTTTCTTCTCCCTCTCTTTCTTTGAAGTAGGAAAATAAGATAACATGGGTCTCTGCACACATGGAGTCTATTGGCAACTGGGCAAGGGAGCAGACATGTGCTTTCTCCTCAGTTCTAACAAAGGGAACCTGACTCTAGGTAGCTATAAAAACCAGGTCATTATAATGGAAACTTAGGGTGCAGCTACACTGCTGAAATTAATTGAAAGCTGCATCTAGGCTTCTGAAGTCAATTTAAAGTCATGTGGTTTTTGTGTCAATGTATGCATATTCTTGGAACAATTCTAATATTGTTGTAAGGTATGTGGTATATCCGTCCAGGGGACTACACAGGCTTTAAAATTGTTGCATTTATAAGCAGATTGGCACCTCAGCTCTCAAGTTCCCAATTTTTCCATATCCCTCATCATGTCCTAAAGTCATATTCTTCTGCCATATTGTGTTTCGTCTTTGTTTAGAGAATTGTTTACCACTGGTTTAAATTGTTTCTTTTTAAATATTGTAACTATTTTTAATATTTACTTTTATTTTTAAAATGTATTTCAAAATGGTGTAACACTAGATTGATGTTACAGATTTTTAAAAAAATTATAAGAGTTCACGCATGCTACAGTCTGAAACTTGTGATCCTGACACACAATACTTGACAAACCACACAGACACAGTTTACTCTGACACAAGTGATCACACATACCAAAATAATTTTTTTAAGAAACACCACCCACTCATGGGTGTTTATCAAAAATACACATTTTTCTGGCCAAAACAATGCACACTTACATCATGTGCTTGGATATTTTTTTAATTGATCCCAATTGTGGTAAACCTGATGCAAAAACAAGAGTATTTCGACATGTAGTCGAGCCCTAACTCTGGGAAACAACTTCGGGTGGAGATGAGGTAGAATAATGCACTTCAGGTGTTACTGTGGTAAATATTTAATGTTGGTGTTATATGATTTTGTAACAGCATATTTTATTCAGCTATTTCATAGCTATTTCATAGCAGGGATGTGGTGGCACTGTTGGTAAACCGCAAAGGTTCTGGTTGAGAACAAAAGCCTGCAAGATCAAAAGACCAGCGGTTCAAATCCATGTGACGAAGTGAGCTCCCATCACTTGTCTCAGCTCCTGCCAACCTAGCAGTTCAAAAGCATGTAAATGGGAGTAGATAAATAGGTACCACCACGGTGGAAAGGTAACAGCATTCCGTGTTTAGTCGTGCTGGCCACAGGACCACGGAAACTGTCTTTGGACAAACTCTGGCTCTATGGCTTGGAGATGGGGATGTGCACCTCCCCCTAGAGTCTGACACAACTGGACTAAATGTCAAGGGGAAACTTTACCTTTTAATTTCATATAAATTCCTCCTTTCCACCATGGAGAACCATTAATTAAATTAAATTAAATTTATTCAAAATATTTCTACCCCATCTTTCTTCCCAAAAGAATCCAAGGTGGCTAGGAGTCAAGGCGGAACCATGCAGCACATATAGTTCCATATCAGACAGGTTAGTCTGAAGGCCAAACAAGATGAAGTCCTTAGCATGTCACTAGAAGCAGAGCTCCCTTAAGAGGAAAAGACTGCTTCTTCTTATATGAATTTTCCTTGATCCACACATAGCAAATTAACCTTTTTTTGTTTTTCAGCTGATCAATCACACAGCTTCATTGGCATCTCTGATCTTTAAGATATGTAACTTTGAATAATATGTATGCCTGTATGGATATGAAGAAATGTACATTTGCCCTAATATATGACCTGGTCCTCAGAAGCAACAGAACTCATTCTCATTCAAGCTTTGTGTTTGAGTGGAACTTTCAAACTTCTTCTCCCCTGTCCTATTCAAATGTGCCATCCAGCCTGCATTTATCAGACGAGGAACATTCATGTATGAAATGTTTGTGCATGAAGATTCTCAGTGTTAAAAATCTCTGGGTTGGTTTTTATATAGGAAGCTGCATCAAACAGAGACACACAATTGATCCCTGTATTAAGCTCAGTACCGGCCATACTGACTTACAACTCTCAGGTTTCAGGCAGAGGTGTTTCCTCTGAATCCTAGCCAAAGATGGAAGGAACTAAATGTTGGAACTCTTTTATGAAAAGTAAATGCTCTTTTTTTGGTAAAGTTTTGGGCCCATAACTTTATTCCACATGGTTTGAACCCAGAGAAAGTTACAAGTTTTATGAATTCGGCAACATTCTCAAGAATTCTTACACACTATATATATTAATAATCCACATCTTTCCAAACTTAGTTTTACCTCAACACAATGATCTAAGTGCTGACAACAGGATGTCTATGTAACCAGCAGTTTGATGGATTGTTACTGGTGCCATTATCATTTTGCAAGACTATTACAATGTAACTGTCACCCTTTTTCCCGGTGCTCTTGCTCCATTCCCTTCTGCCATGTTTTCTGTATATAGAAACCTCTGACCTGAGTATTATTATTCCTCAGGTGTTTGAGGAATTGGGTTACAATCCATGAAAGCTTACAGTGAAATAAATTTGTTAGTCTTTAGGGCACCACAAACTTTTATTTTTGTCATTTGCACAAAATCCCAGTGCTCTTTCTGTTTCTGGTGTGTTGTTGTTCTCTGTATTGTTTTTGTTAAATCTACTTTAAAACAGAAGTTTCTCACTAAAGATCAAAAACTCTATGTTGACCTCAGGAAACAAATGATTAATCTTAAAACTATGAGGCAAAAGAAGAAATGGAAACCATTATACCAATCCTTCCTGCTGCATAATGCTTGTCTGAACTGCACAATGGCATAGACGTGTGTGAACTGTCCTAGTAATTTCATCGTGAGCCTTCTCTGATCATGTTAGTGATGATGACACTTTAAAATGGAGTTGTCACATTTCTCATTCAAAGTGTGAAAAACAAGATAGAAGTATGGGGATATAAATCAAATCATTTTTAAAAGTCTGTATGAAAAAGAAAAGGGTGCAAAGAGCAAGCGGAACATGCCCATTTAGCCTTTGGTTTCATTTCCCCAACCACTGGCCAACTTTTATGACAAATAGCATTTTGAAAATCATATTTTCTGGTGTTTCAGCCTCATCTTTTCAATTAAACATGCAGAAAAAGTATGTGACAGAAGGCAGTATTATAATAAATGGAGAGTGGAGCACCTCATTCATATTGTAAATGCCACAGCAAGGACTTTGGTTTCCTATAATGGTATGCAATGATAATGCCATTACACTGCACAAGACTTGATTTAAACCCAGCTCAGAATCTGGCAGAGAGTCCAAAAAATTGCCAGGTGCCTCTCCACTAAATCCAAGGGAAATAATATGTTTACTTTGGATTCTTTCAGGGGCATATTGTTGCTGGGAGGGGGAAGGTCTCCTCAAACTCTGCCTGACTTTTCTAACATATAGCAAGATATACCTTTATCTCAGCCTGCATTATACATAGCAATTAAAGTTAGGTTCCACAAAGCCACTTGTTCATCAAGTTGCATCAAGTTATGATGCTGTAGTGGATCATATTTCCTTCTGAGGGTTCCCCAGTGTGTCACAGAATGCCAGGGACTCTCTGGAAACAAAGGAGAGGGGAGGAGTAGGGAAACAGAAACTCCAGTTGTGGAAGCAGATGTCTGCTTGCATTATATGGGATGCAGCTCAACCTTGGGTAATCCAGATGTTCTTCGACTGCGACTCCCAGAAATCCTAGCCAGCACAGGTACTGGTGAAGGTTTCTGGGAGTTGCAGTCTAAGAACACCTGGATTACCCGGCACCACTACCATACACAATTATTAAAAAATAAAAAGCGCTATACATTTTGAAATAAGAGCATTTTATGAATAATATATACACCTACCAACAATTTTGATGCTGCAATTTTCATTCAGAAGAAAATTTTCAATCTTCAAATCTCTAAACAAACCAAGAAGGAAAATAAGTATCTCATCTTGAAATATAACTATTTTGCTCTGCAAACAGTCGTGTTGGCTTCTCAGAGTATATTCTCCCTGCTGGTGGCAGGGGCTCTGAACCCCTATGCAGTTCAATATATAACTCTTGTGCTTCCAAAAACGTAACTAAAACAGTTAATTAAAACTCATGCAGAGACAGACCTCCCCCTCCTGGCATGCTTCAACACCTTTCCCAGTTGTCACATGGCACCACCCTCTGAGGAGAGGGGCTGGCTGACCTGCCACCACTGGACCAGGGGCTGCCACACCATCAACAATAGGGGACTTAGTAAGTCCAAGACTCACCTTTCCCATGCCACTTGCTGGAGACAAAAAGCAGCACAGCATCCATCCATCCATCCATCCATCCATCCATCCATCCATCCATCCATCCATCCATCCATCCATCCATCCATCCATCCATCCATCCATCCATCCCCTTGTGGCTCATACCCATGCAATCCAAGGGAGAAGTATATAAGAACTTAATGGCTGTACTAGGAACATTGTAAGGGGGCTCCAAGAGATCTTTGGGTTTTTAAACAATAAATTCCTAGTTCAGACAACTATTGGCCCACCAAAATGAATTGCATGCAGCCCACCATCATTGTATGGCAGGGGTGGTGCATGAGAGTATTCATCATAACTAGTTATATTGGTTGTTACCTAAAAGTAATTAGTTACCAGTGGGTACATACTTGTATTTAGTTACGTCCAAGCCTGGAATTCCCTAAAGAAATGTGTGATTTGCATTGCATTACTTACACTGACTCTGTAACTGAATTTGCCTCCAAAATTGATTCCATTTGGGTTACTCTTACAGGCATAACTAATAAAGTTTTGGCTCATATTTGTGGAAGGAAACACAAAGGATCGCTTCACCAGACTGTATAAAAGAGTGGGCTATAGGTTACCAAGATCTTATATTGCCTTTTATATCAAGCCTATTCTACTCCTTATATTGCCCATTGATAACCAGCATGTGCCATCAAGATAATTCTGACTTATGGTGACACTTTTTAGGGTTTTCCCAGTTGAGAATACCCAGAAGTGGTTTACCCTTTCCTTCTGAGGGCACCCTGTGCAGCTTGCCCAAGGCCACACAGGCTGGCTCTTCTGGCATGCACAATGGGGAACTGAACTCCCCGTGATATCTGGGCCATAGGTTTATGTACAGTGTACATTTGTGGCTCAGCATGTGTCTGAAGAATGGGATTGTAATCCATAAAAGTTTACATTGAAATAAACATGTTAGTCTTAAAGATACTACAGTACTTTTGTTCTGTTTTGGTGGCTGCTCAAATAGACTAATATGGCCATCTGTCTGAAAAGTACCCAATACTGTGTTTCATGTAGTTCTGTCATATTCAGCTGTTGCTAAGAGACAGCACTCAAAATGGAGCTACGCATCTAGAAGAAGATTTCCTAATACCACTACAATACTTCTGAGTGCATTCTTTACCTTCTTCCTTTTAAGGGAATATAATTACCATTCTTCCTTCTCTTGAGGAAAAATTAAATGGCTGCAGTTGGTGATATTTCAGACCGCCAATTCACCATCAGATTTAATGGCCAAACATTCATTTAAAGCAGAGAGGGCAAAGTATGGTCTGTGAGCCATATGTGCCTCTCAGGAATCCCAGTTCTCACTACACAATTGTTTAAATTAATATTTTTGCTCAGAAAATTCCTTGTGCCCCAGATGGTATGTGTGTGGGGATTTTGCCATGTTGTGCCCCCTCACCACCTCAATGGGGTTGTCTAAAAAAAAAAAAAAAGACACAAAGACCTTTTTCAGTTAAAAAAAGAGAGGAAAATATTTTGGGAGGATGGACCTGTTTGACTGGACATATCCTTCCAGAGCCCAGGCTTGGAGGGATGTGGTCCCCAGATGGGCTGATACCTAGATTTATAATGATCTCTTGTCTGTGGAGAGAGGAAACTTTTCTCCATATATAACCCAGTTGCTACAATGATGGATGTTTTAATTTGTTTTCCTAGGACATGGCGATTTAATAACCCACATAGCTGAAGTTTGTCCCCTCCATAATTTTGCACGTATAAAACTGAGCTTATTTGCTGTCATATTTGACTGCAACAAGAGTTTTGTATACTGGACTAGCTGCGGGAAACTTTAGAGCCTGACTATTCCCTCTCTCCCCTTAGCAGTAAGAAACAAATCCAATTAAACATGCTGTGTTTTAACAGCACCAATCTGCTTCCGTCATTTCCTAATTGTAGAACTAACTCTGTCATGTCTATTGCAAAAAGGTCACATAGATGTTTCCAATGTGTGCACACAACTATTTTTTTCTAAAACTATATACACTGGAATCCTTCAAAATATACTAATATTTATATTTATTTATGTTATTTATTTATTCAGTTTTTACCCCGCCCCTCTAGACGTCTACTCGGGGTGGCTTACATCAGTTAAAACAAGTTAAAAAACATAAAATGCATCTATACTAATTAGTTCTAAACAACAGATTTCCAAGATGGTGGTATACAAAAGAAAGAAAGGGAAAAAAAGATAAAAAGAGAAAGAAAATCACTTAATTGACTGGGGGGTAGGCCTGTTTAAACAACCACATTTTTAATTGGCTTTTGAAAACCCCCAGCGAGGGTGCCAGCCGGATTTCAGTGGGGAGTGTGTTCCACATCCAAGGGGCGACCGCCGAGAAGGCCCGGTTTCTAGTTTTCTCCTTCCGGGCCTCTCTCGGCATCAGGCCCCTCAGCCGTCCCCGCTGGCTATGTCGGGTGATTTGGGTAGATCTGGGCGGGAGGAGGAGATCTGCCAAATATTAAGGTCCCAAACCATTTAGGGCTTTATATGTAATCATTAATACTTTGAAGTCGATGCGGAAACGAATAGGTAACCAGTGCAGTGCAGCCAGGGTGGGGGAGATCTGCTGATATTTTCTCACCCCACTAAGAAGCCTGGCTGTTGCATTCTGGACCATCTGAAGTTTCCGCAACAGCCTCAAAGGCAGCCCCACATAGAGTGCGTTACAATGGTCTAATCTCGAGATTACAAGCGCATGGACTAGAGTAGTGAGGCCCCCCCCATCAAGATACTAAAATGATATTAAAAAGATATTAAAATGTTCAGCAGATACTTCCATCTTCTACCCCTCAAATTAATACAACTTTATGGTTCTTTAATGTACTACAGATAAATGATTCTTTTCTCCAATTCTAATTAAAAACAAGCAGCAAACAAAGATTTCTATATCCCTTGAGTTACACAGGGGGAAAATAGTTTGTACCTGTGGACAATCCCGTGACGGTGCAAATGTTCTACTGCAGACATGATCTGCCTTGTATATTTCTTCACTTCCTTCTCCTCTAGTCTCCTTTTCTCACAGATTCTGTCCATGAGATCTCCCCCTAGGCATAGTTCCATCACCATGTAATAGGAGTTTTCCGTCTCCAGCGTTTCATAGAGCTGAACAATATTGGGATGTTTAATCATCTGATGTATCCGAGGCTCCCGCTTCATATTTTTCAAAACATAGGAGTCTTGTTTGGCTTTTTTCTTGTCGATAACCTTTATGGCTACCTAAATCACAGAAATGTCATAAATATAGCTCTTAAGACAGGGCAATGCCAAGTGCTGTTCAGTAGCGGCAGGTTTGTTGTTGAAATGTCAGAGGGGAAAATTCTCCTTTGTTCATGAACTTTTGATTCTTGGTAAAGCATTTTTATTCCACTGGATCAAATCTGATGCTATGTATCCATTAAGGTGTAATTCACAAAACCAGTGGTATTATAAAATCTTTTATTTCTCTTAATATATAGTATATGGTCCCATGTTAAATTTGCATAACTACACAATGTTGATCTAATAAACCACCAGTGCAGAAATGTTTCTTGTACAAAATACAGTGAAGCATCTGCACATGCAGACACAAGCTAATTACAGCCCCTCTTCCCAAGTTAGGTATTACGTTGGATAGCTTAAACGCAGAAATTTTTAGTGGGAGAAAAGCAGATAATCCTTTAACACATTAACAAAGATGCAAAGTAAGGTTTTAAGAACAAACAATCATAATTAACATTACCAAAGGGGAAAAGAGTGATTAATAAAAAATGGGATGGTGGTGGAACACAAAATATTCTGGATTGAGGAAGATTAATACCCCCACTTTCCTGCTGCAAAGATCTGGCTCATTATTTATGATTTTTGGGGGCAGTTTCACTATTATTATACCTTAATTCACAACAGTATTGCTACTTCAGCTAAATAACACACCAGTTCTTCCTTGGAAGAAACAAGACCTTGAACTTGCTCAGTGAGCGTAGCCTCACATGGGACACATTCTGTTCTATGAGCTCTCAGTTTACCTTCTCCCCAGTGGGGATGTGTAAGCCCTCCATCACTTTGGCAAAGGAACCTTTGTTGATCATTTTGCCCACCAGGTAATTCCCAACTTGTTTGGTGTGGGGAAAATTCTTCCTAGGCTCCTGGGACATCTTGCTGAAACAAACAGGCATCTGTACATCCTTATTGTTTTTCTTGCAGGCGAATGGTGCTGTTAATATCCTTTCCTGATTTGTAGGCTCTGTCATTCCATCATCAGGAGATGCTTTGATTGCCGCAGGCATTCTTGAAAGGGGTCAGGTGGGCTGACACAACCCAGCCTTTGGGCGAGCGCTTCTTTCCAAAGGCAGTTCAGAGGGCTTACAGGTTTCTTTGCCTGCACATCCTGAGATGCAACTACTGAGCTGTCGGCCGGCCGTGTGGTATTTAATCATCCTCCCCTGGAGGCTACATTTTCATCACTGATCTCTGTCTGCAGGCATGCAGATCTGCTCAAGCAGAACCAAGCTGGAGATTATTAACCTAACCTGATACAGGATGTCAATTAATGCCCCAGAACTGACAGCTCCAATGTCACACAATAATCTCAAGGAAGAAACCACTCCCATTTACAGAGGTCAGCATTAACACCAAGGGCTTTCTGCTCAGCAGCAGCTAATACCAATCAGCTAAATTGGACTATGCTTCTCTTTACCTGCTTTTCTAGAAACAACCATTCATTGTATAAAGGCATCAAGGTAGCTCAGGTGAACTCAAGAGAGTATTTAAACAGAAAAAAATGGTGTTAGCATGTGTCCTAAATGACTTAATCATAGTGCACTGCTGGTCCTCTCTCCTCATGTTTCTCCAGAATCCTTTCAGAATAAGCGGCTCAGTTTTGCTTCCCCCACCCCCACTTTTTTTCTATTTGCAATTTTGAAATCTCCATCTCTTTCCATCGCAAATAGGTGCTTGAATGATTCTGACAAATTCTTCAAAAATAAGCAGAATCAATTTTTTAAAAATCAGCACTGGCCATCCTCCCATTTCTCAAGTTTGTTAAGCAGCTTCAGCAATGGGACAGCCAGACATCCTCTTTGCTTCAGTTCCAGTGGTCACACATGCTGGAACTGAACCAAAACACAGAAATGCTACACACACACAAAAAAACACAGAAGCTCCCGACAGAAACACAAAAATGTGTTGATAAACATAGATCAAGAACAGGCTGGTTCAAAATGTCATTTGAGTCACGTTATTGCCAGAAAAAGGAACAAACCAGTTTGTTACCAACAATGACCAAACTGCAGGACAAATGCCCATCTGACTGCACCCAAAGTTAACTTGTGGATTCAGCTCTTTAATACTCAGAATGATTAAGCGTACATTCCCCTTTTGAAAAGGAATAGTTTCCATACTTCTTACTAAGAAAATAAAAAAGCTTGTGTTTATTAGAGCAATATATTTCGGGATAGGCAATGTAGTAGAAGTCTAGTTCTAGCTTATTAATTTGAGGGATCATGGCTCAAGAGCAATGGTTCCCAAACTTGGGTAACCCAGAGGTTCTTGGACTACAACTCCCAAAAGCCTTTAGCATTAGCTCTGTTGGCTGAAGTTTCTGAGAGTTGCAGAACATTTGGGTTACCCAAGGTTGAGACTCACTGCTCTAGAGAAAGGCAATATGTCTCCTCTTTGGAGGGACAGCAGATGGGTGTGTGAATATTCATTAAAGCCCTCAATTAATTTGGGGTCCTGCAGCAGTTGCGAAATCAGGTTCTGCAGAGGGGTTTCAACAGACCCCTACCAAATAATGGGTGAGTTCCGAGCCCGAAGTACTCACAGTTGTGAAGACAGCGAGAACCTGGCCGGCCCAATTTGACCACCCCCGGACTTCCGACCCGGAGTTGGCTGTTGGGCCGGGAGCGGCCCCAGCAGATCCCCCCCCCCCAAGCATTGTACTACCACGATCTGCAGTGCTGGGAGATCAGATGAGCTATACCTTACCTGTGTTTGTGATGGAACTCACCGAAACCTGTTGTATCTGCACTACCTGCCTGTGTGACCAATATAACCACCTCTCAACATGCCAATGCTCCTTGACTAGTGTGGGATAGGTGAAAAATCCCCACATCCAAAGGCCAATCAGGAAGCAGGTAAAAAATTCCTATCTGGCCCCAAAAAGTGACCAGTAAGAACTCACACTACAATATAGGACAGGCGGGTGAAGAAGAGGCTGATAAAAGGTGGGGACTCTCCTTAAATACCTTACTCCTTCTCTCTCCCTTCTCGGTCACTCATGCTAGACAATTACATCTCACAGTATCCTGGGAAGGAGATAATGGCCCTCCATGGCTGCGCCTTTACTACCATCCCAGCATAAATCAAAAAACCCGGCAACCAGTTTGCCCATTTCCTCTCAGGCTTATGTCTCCTACGTCTCTCCTTATCCCGCTCATCCTCCTTATCAATGTCCTTCTTGTCTACTTCTCTATTAAGGAGATTAATTATCCATTGAGATCTTTTCTTTAGTTGCTGGAGTGAGGTGATCATCTAGGGGCATTGCATGGTCCCCAAAAGGGACCAAGTTATAACCCATGTCCGGTACTGACGGGTACGGTCAAACCCCTACACCTGACGATAACCCCATGGCTGTTGGGAAAGCAAAGTGAGGGAATGGGTTGACCCAACTCCCCACTGCCATTTGGGGCCCCACAGCCCTGTGTTTCATGGGTCACTAGCAATGGCCAGCTGTTCTGCTGTTTTAAACATGTCAGCTGTTGGTGCTGACTCATGTGCTACTGCAGTTGGTGTCTCCTGCTCCCCCCTGCTAAACTGCTCATCCAAAGCTGCCTCTTCCATTTCATCCTGTCTACCCCGGAACCCCACAGTCGATCGTTCAGCCTCAAGCATTCAAAGTCTATGCCCCTCCTCTTCGCTCTGCCACTGAGGTCACTGATCCCATCCTGGATGGTCAAGAGGCCCAACAGTCATCCTCTAAAGCCACAAAATGGGACATTAAGTTCTTGAGTTTAGCTTTCCTATGACTTTTGGCCTCCCTTCTGACCATCTTGTGATTCACTTTGCTGTGCCACCCATTGCTCTTTCAGCCTCTAAGGCCAAAATTTTATCCTGGAGCTGTTGCCATATTGGCCACGCCTTCTCATCAGAAGAGGACTGGGGGGAATGATATCTGAGGAGCAGCTTGCTTTTTGGCTGGTTGCTTCCCTTTTTTGTTACCCTGTCCTTTCCTAGTCGCCATCCCAGCCACTTATTTAAAACTCTGATTCGCTACGCTAAACCTTGTACACCACAAGTTCTAAAGATTTACTGTTTCCTTGGCTGCTTAGTGGACTACACTAATTAGCTGTAATTAACAAAAGCCCAGCCCTTGTGGGCAACAAGAAACTGAATTAAAATATCAGTGCAAAAACTTAACCTGCTCCATCTGAAGTTAACACCCAAACCCACGGAAGACTGAGCTATAACCTCTCTATTAATATTAATTTATTGTAATTTGTTTATGTATTTAATTTTTCTTTTTTTTACTGACTACACTAATTAGCTGTAATTAACAAAAGCCCAGCCCTTGTGGGCAACAAGAAACTGAATCAAAATATCAGTGTAAAAACTTAACCTGCTCCATCTGAAGTTAACACCCAAACCCACGGAAGACTGAGCTATAACCTCTCTATTAATATTAATTTATTGTAATTTGTTTATGTATTTAATTTTTCTTTTTTGTACTACTCACAATTGATGTGATTATTAATTAATTTATTTAATTAATTAATTTTTTTAAGTTTATGTATTTTTTATTAATTAACACCCCTATCAAAGGGTCACTTGACTCCCCGTCGATAATTAGGAGAAGTACCCCCAAACTTAAAACCACACGAAGATTAAATGCTAATTAATTCTGAGCCACCCACTTACCATATTTTTCCATGTATAAGACTATTGTATAAAATCTTTAGACTAAAAATTGAGAGTTGTCTTATACACGAAAGTAAACTGAGGAGAGAACAAAAACAAGTGGAGGGGAAAGCAGGGATCAAAGGGATCCTGCAGCGCTTTGATCTGTTTCCCCCTAAACTTGCTAAGCCCCATTTATTTTTCTTAATTTTGGATTAGAAAAGTGGGGGCATATTATACATGGAGCGTATTATACACAGAAAAATATGGTAATTACCACAATTCCTAACCCCAATAATCAACTTATTTAAAAAGCATCCCTATTTTGTTGTTGTTTAGCCATTAAGTCATGTCCAACTCTTCATGACCCCATGGACCAGAGCACGCCAGATTCACATTGGTAGCTTCAATGACAAGCATCCCTATAATCAATGTAAATTAATTCATATTTATTATCAGTATTAATTTAACTATAACAATTGAATTTCCAGCATCCCTATAATCAATGTAAAGTAATTCAAATTTATTATCAATATTAATTTAACTATAACAATTGAATTTCCCTCCCTTGTTGGTCGGGAGGGCACACCAAACTGTCTATTAAATCCAAATTGAAATATTAAATAAAAATGATTGCCCAGCCTGGGCCTGGCAGAGACCGACTCCTGCCAGCCTGGCCCAGTGACTGCACTGCTTCCCGCACGCTGCTTTGCTCTTCTGAGCTCTCTCGAGCTCTCTCTCTAATTAAGAGAAGCAGAGCAAGCTGTCCAATGAGGGACAGTTGCAAACTAATCAAACTGTGGGGATGGGGTGCCAATGCAACCCCCCTTTCCAAAGAAACTGCACATCAGTTGAGTGACGCAGCATGGAAAAAACGCAGCTGCGGAACTCTCTCTTCATTCACTGCCAGCAAAGAAGAGTCCAACAGAAGGTGGGGACTCTTCTTAAATACCTTACTCCTTCCCCTTCCTCGTTTGCTCATGCAAGACAACTACGTTAATGGCAGCCCGTGCTGGCGAAGAAAATCTCACCAGCAGGCTGAGCACAAGTGACAACAAGTAAAAGACAGTGTAAGTCCTCACTCTCTCCTCTTCCTCATGAAAAGGCACACATCTTATTGAGTGTAAGCTGAGTTGCACTCAGTCACTTCCAAAATCTTCAAGCACCACCATGAGGATGGATGGTAGTGATATCTGAAAAGTGAAGTGGTATCTGAACAGTGCAGGAAGATGTAAAAAGTGGTATCTGGAAAAAGATTTTAAAATTGTAGACCTAGTGCAAGAATGGGGAATTTTTGACTCCCATATATTTTAGCATGGCAAGTTGTAAGGGACTATGGGAGTTGAAATCCAAAACATCTGGAAAGCCAAAGGTTTTGTTAACCCTGGTTTTGTGGAAGCTGTTTGCCATAGGACTGCTTTTTTATAGCCACAGCTTATAGCAAACCTCCCCTCTTACTCCCTCTGTCCTCCATGTGTTATTCCAAGAAGCCTGAGCAACCCTTCCCTTTTTTTTACTATCTTAGTTGGGTTGTGTGACTAGAACACCCACACCTCACAATCCATGCATGAGAGTGTGTGACTCATCCCACCATTCTGGCACACCCCTGTCCATGCACACCACAGGCTGGGATAATTATTGGTATATTACCAATGTTTCAATGTTTCCCACTCTTCTCCCCAGTTTCAGAAACATCCTTCAA